CTGTATAGGTTATTAAGCTAAACAGATCTGAATGAAGCACTGAATGTATGCAAAGAAGATCAAGTTATCGTTTGAAGGATCTTCAATAAATTGCATCAGTAATCAAGAATTAGATGTTTTGAGTTATTCCATGCGCCCTTCATTGTTGATTGGAGCCTTTTTCAAGTTTGGGCGGACATTGAGGCTGAGAATCCCTAGATAACTTGACACTCACATATAAAGTGCTCATTATTGCATCTGGTGTTTCTGTCACAGTCACCGCCCTTATCAACTCTGAGTCAGATGGCAACTTCAGATCAATAGAGCTCTGCTGCCAGCTCAGTCTCCAAAAGACCATCAACAAGAGGTGCTACCAAGCCCAATCCATCACTGGAAAGCCCCTCTCACGTGGTTATATCAAAATCATGTGTTGGGTCCCCTTCAACTCAGAATGGGCCAGCTACATACGGAGCAGATTCACTTTCTGGTTCTGGAGAACTTCACCACTGGCATTATCCTAGGGGAACCGTGGCTGATCAAACACCAACCTGAGCTTTCTTGAACCACCAGGGAGGTCCTGAAGTGGGGCAATAAATGTTTCTGATCCTGTTTCCATGAACTTCCTCTTAAAGCCTCCAAACTGTTCCATCCGGTTCCTGTCTGTTCCACCACCATCGGAAGTCCCATCAAAAAACGATCTGTTGACATTCTTGAGGATTATACCCCCCTTCAGTGATGTATTCTGCCCCAAGAAAGCCTCATGACTTCCACCTCATTGGCCATGGGATTGTGCCATCGATCTTATTCCTGGTGAACCAGGGCCCTGGGGTAAAATCTTTCCACTCTCCATGAAAGAATACACCCAGGAGGTGCTACAGTAAGGTTACATGCGAGTAAGTTTAATTACGATTACCGGGCACTGAACAAGATCACCATTAAATTCTGTTACCTCCTTCTACATCCTAGCAGCCCTGGAACCTCTTCTTGGCACTTCCATCTTCACCAAGCTGGACCTCCATAGTACCTACGACCTCATCCGGAAATGCAAGGGGGATGAAAGGAAAATAGCTTTTGTGACCCCTACAGGTTACTACGAGTATTGCGTTATGCCATATGGGCTGGTTAACGCCCCCTCCATATTTCACTACTTCATGCACAAGGTGCTCCGGGAGTTTCTTAACAAGTTTGTGCTGGTCTACATTGATAACATCCTCATATACTCCCAGAGTTTGGCCATACATTGCTGTTATGTTACAGAGGTCCTGAAGATGCTCTGATATGTTCATCAAGGCAGATAAATGCCAAATCCATTAGTGTAAAATCCAATTCCTTGGTTACACCATGAGTCAATGTGGTATCTCCATGGACGAAAGGAAGGTATCTGCAATTCGAGACTGGCCAACTCCTTCCACCATCAAAGAACTCCAGAGATTCCTTGGTTTCGCTAACTTCTATCGACACTTCATCCAGAATTGCAGCTCTATAGTTCATCCAATCACCTCCTTACTCCACGGAAAACCCAAGTATCTGTCCTGGACCACCAAAGCAGACAATGCCTTCAAGTAACTGAAGCTGGCATTTAGCAGTGCACCACTCCTGACACATCCACAGACACATCTATGCCCTTCATTGTTGAAGTTGATGCTTTCACCACCGGAGTCAGACCGTTGCTTTCCCAGCAGCAGGGGAAGGCTCTTAAGCGACTAAACCCCCAACAAGCAAGATGGGCTCTTTTCTTCACCCAATTTGTGGGTGAAAAACCTATGAGAATAGAGGTAAGGGAGGTTACCAAAGTGCTCCGTAGAATTAAAACACACAAAGTTACCGGTCCAGATGGCCTTAAGGGCATTGTATTAAAAGAGTGTGCAGAACAACTTGGGCATGTTTGTACTAGGTTGTTTCAGGTCTTTTTAGATGATGGTTTTGTACCAGCAGCATGGAAAAACACCACTGTTATTCCAGTACCTAAAACGTCTCAGGCAAGAGCTCTTAAAGACTTTCGCCCAATTGCACTAACATCTATTCTGTGCAGGAGCATGGAGCGTATATTATGTAAAGAATTGATGTCACAAATGGTCACTTACAATTGAATATTGAGAAGACAAAGGAACTATGCTGTGGGAGCAAAAACAGGATCGGTACGGCTGGTGTCTCATATGAACAAATTACTATAAAGGGTGTAAAGGTAAAGCAAGTCTGAAATTTTAAATAAGTAATTAATGAAGCAAATAGGATAATCGGCCAGAAACAGAGTACAATGCAAGAGCTGTTTTTAGGCCCTTCCTTCAGGGCGCAGGCTGCATATACCGCTGGCTTAAAAAGAACCTATATAAAAGATCTAGACCAATTTTGAGTTAATGTATTAATTATTATTATTATTATTTATTTATTTATTTATTTATTATTTTTTTTTTTTTTGTGATATGTGAATGTGTAGTTTTATTTGTTAGGATGTATTTTCTATGCCAGTGTCAAAGATGAATTTCTGTTCAGGATATCTGGACAGACAATAAAGTTAAACTAAACTAAATTTGATTTTCAAATTTTCTATCGATTTTCAAATTTTCTATTTTCTATAGACAACAAGAATGGTAGAGCAAATGCTCTTTCCCAACTCAATGCTCCTGACAATCCCTCCGAGAATCCTGAACCCACCCTGGATCATAAGAAAATGATGAGTCTGATTGAGTGGACACCAGTGGAGACCCAAACCAGTGCCTCTGTGAGAACCCTCCACCGGGCTGCCCTCCTAATAAACAGTATGTTCCCAGACTCCAAAGAAATCAGACCATTCATTCCGTGCATACTTCTGTGGGCACTGGTCACCCGGGGGCCGATCAAACTCTCTCACTGCTACAAGACCGCTTCTGGTGGCCTAACATGGCCAACGACTTCAGAGGTTTCATGAGAGGGTGTACAGATTGTGTCATGTCTAAAACACCTTGCCAACTTCCATCTGGCAAACTCCTTCCACTGCCTGTCCATAACTCTCCATGGTCACATCTAGGAAAATATTTAATCACTGATCTACCTCCATCAGAAGGCAACACCTGTATCCTCATGGTAGTGGACCACTTCTCTAAATCTTGTAGATTGATCACACTCCGAGGTTTGCCCACAGCAATGAAAATGGCAGATCTCCTGTTCAACCATGTGTTCAGATACTTCGGACTATCTGTCGTCACTCTATTTTTCCAATAATATGTCTTAGTATGATGATACTTCAATGCTTAGTTTAATGATCAAAACATATGATGCAATCCAATACAATGATGATTGAGAGATGAACAAATAAAAAGCCTGATGATCATATTTGAAACTTACTGATTTTTAAAAAAAAAAAATATGTCTGGATAATCAAGTAAAGCTAAGCTGCTTCAGTATAGTAAGTGTTGGTCATTAAATATTACTAACAATTTCAAAGTTATTCTTGTTTTCTTATGTTTTATGATTTCACAGCAAAGAGACACATGAAGCACAAGCTGAAGGTGGATGTTTGTACAGTTACACTAAAAGGCCTTTTACTTTCTAAAAATGTCTAAACTAGCAATCAGACGACAGAAGGTGTGTAATAGGTTTAACAGAAATGTTTGATCATGTTGATAATTTAGAGGCCTGTTAAATATGATACACTAGGCAATAGGGTTAATGATAATAAAATAGAGTAGAAATTGGACACACACACTCAGCACCTGCAGAAATCCTTCATATTTGACCTCCATCTCTCTCTCAAACCACTAACCCATATGTGAACATTTGGTGGTTTTCTTTTACCCTTCAGGCAGTGTGGGTGAAGTTGGACTTCCTGTCGTTTTTCTTTCTGTTCACTGGTTCACTGAGGACAGATGAATGTCTCCATGACCTCTTCAAATTAACCATTTCTCGTTGACTCTGCAGATTCTACCTGGAAAACAAAACGCCATTTTATCCGTTTCTGCAGTCGTTAGTATGTATAGTTCTGTATGAATGCAATGTGCAGATGACTTACTGTATTTTCCATTTTTTTGTGCATTATAGATCTGACTCTAAATTCTGATGGGATGAGGTGTGCTTTAAGCTGTTGTTGCATGACCACAGTTTCTCTATTAATATAGGTGAACTGGAACTAAATAAATTTCTTTATTGGCAGACTATTGATTGCCAAATCATTTGCACTTATACCTGTCATGAAACTGCACAGGTACACGAAGGTTGAGGATCCAAATGCAGGGTTTTAATGAAGGGGTAATCCGCAATATAAGTCAGAAACAGGCAAAGGTCATAACAATAGGCAATCAGTCCAAACAAAAGCAACATGGCAACAAACACAGGCAAAGAGAAATCCAAAAACAGGCAGAATAAACAAACCAAGAAACAGAATAACTAGTATGCTAGGCTAGAAATGCAGATGACAAGCAAGACTTCACAATGAATGATAAAATGAACCAGGCTTATATAGGGTGAGCAGACAGGGTTAACGAGACACCGGTGCAAACAATGAGTGCTGATGAGTTCGGGCAAAGGATTATGGGAAATGAAGTCCAAGACTGATTGACAGAGGTATGGTTTTATTTAAATATTATATCGCTATTTGAAATTCTGCTTCGTTGATACTATACCTGTTTTCTGTGTAATGCCAATACATTTGAACCAACTGAAAACAAATATCCTAAGGTGGTTTGCTGGTCTATCTGGTTTCCTAGCCTGACCATCTGACCCCAAGTGGCCCAGACCATATTAAAACCATCAAAACCAACCAGGCAGCCTCTGGCCAGGCTGGAGATCAGCTAACCACCTCAGGCTGGTTTAAGCTGTTTTAAGAGGGAATAGTAATGCTGCAGACATACAGAAACCTAGATTAAAACCATACAGTATTTCTGACATGATCGCTGGATTTCCCCTCACTGAATTAAACATAACTCATAAGTTGACAGTGGAATTTGGAATTTATCATTCCATACTGCTGTTTTAACCTGCATCCCATTTAGTTTACAATATTTGTGTCACGGTTATTATCTTAAAGAAAATAGATCAATCAATCAATCAATCAATCAATTTTGTTACTTAAAATAACATTAAAATAAAATATTAATAGTTTATATTAAAAACTTAACTTGTAATGTCTAGTTACTAAGGCAACATTTCTCATTTTTGTTAACTTTATTTTAACTTTATTTTTAATTCTGGTTAACTTTGTAAACTAAAATTTAATAAAAACTATATCCCACTTCAAATGGGACTGGGTTCCATTGTCAGATGAAAACAAAAATAGCTTTTTGGCAGCAAATACTCAATATGGGTGTGGTACACAAAAGGTTTAAAAAGTAACCCATGTCCACTGTTAAATATACTGCTATATATGTCTTCCATAGACATCCCAGTCCTCTGATCTGAACCCTATAGAAAATTAGTGGGGTGAACTTAAGATGAAAGTGCATGAACACGGACCTTGGAATTTGAAAGATCTGGGGAGATTCTGTGTAGAAAAATGATCTCTGATCTCTTGTCAGGCACTTTCTTCAACCTCATCAGGCATTAAAGGAGATATTCAGAGGTGTTATCTGAGTAAATGGAGGTTGCAAAAAGTATTGAATAATAGAGTGTCAATAATTGCGGCCAATGTGTATTTGAGATTCAACCATTATGAGTGTTCATTTCATAATGACATTTACCCCATTTTCAATTGTTTTACTTCATTGAAAGGTTAAGTTTTTGTGAATTTTTTAAATTAAAACATCAAAAGGATTAACAATGCAGATTTATTTTCACAGGCTTCTTTGTTCATATTTACCAAGAGTGTCAATAATTCTGGCCATGATTGTATACATTTATGCATTTAGCAGATGCTTTTATCGAAAGCAACTTATATAAAAACAATTTGTCAAAGAGCCAGCAGTATTCCTAATATACAATGCCAGGTTTATTAGAAAACTAAATAAGACTAGATTAGATTAATCTAATTCAAAATATTAACAAAAACTATAATTGTAGTTTTATACTTTTTACACACCTACATGTTGTTCCAAAGCAGGAAGACAGTGGTAAAGAAAAAATCCCTCAGATTTTTCTCAAAATGACACATATTTGGCATTTTCTTCAATGTTCGCTTTTAAGACACCACAAAAGGTTATGAGGTGTGAGCAATTCCTGCAACACTTGGCCTTTTGCTTCGTTCAAGTACATGATATTATTAAGTTCATGACATGGCAGCTGGTTGCAGGTTTATGTTGTTAATGGGTGGAAAATATTAGTGAATTTAAAAATAAATGAGCCAAAAGTTCATCATCATTTCAAAGCC